GCTCGATTTTCCCAATATAGTGATTAAAGGGAAGTGAGTTGCAGCTCCCATTCCAGGCGTGCTTGAAGATTGAGAAATTTGGGTGATCTGATTCTGAAGGGCCACTGAACCGCAGATGGTTCTATTCAATATTTATGATGATTGGTTGAAGAGTATATCGTCGTACACTGCATTCTCTAGACTCATTTTGATCCTTCGAGCACTTCATGTGAATAATGAGAAGGCGAAGATGTTGCTGAAGCCTGACAAAACAGTCATTACCGAGCCACATCATATCTGGCCTTCTCTCACTGATGATCAGTGGATGAAGGTGATGTCTCTCGCACAGTTCCTGGATTTGCTTGCATTCATTTATTAACTTCTGTTCCTTCCATTTGATTGTACAACTTTCTTTAGCTTGTCTTGTCAAATCTTCCGTTGTGTGTAAATTAGCATTGTAACAGCTAATCTCATCATTAAATGAAAGTGCATACTTCTATTGTGCAGGTTGAGGTTGCCCTAAGAGATCTTATACTTTCGGATTATGCAAAGAAAAACAATGTGAACACATCAGCTTTAACACAGTCTGAGATACGTGATATCATCCTTGGAGCTGAAATTACGCCACCATCGCAGCAGAGGCAACAAATTGCAGAGATTGAGAAACAGGTCACATTTGATTCTATCTTCTGGAGATTGCTTTTGAATCTGAGTTTCTTTTTCTATTTACTGAGTGAATTAATATTTTTCAGGCAAAAGAAGCAAGTCAGCTAACAGCTGTCACAACAAGGACGACAAATGTTCATGGTGATGAACTCATCGTCACTACCACTAGTCCTTACGAGCAAGCTGCGTTTGGATCGAAAACTGATTGGCGCGTGAGAGCAATATCAGCAACTAATCTTTATCTGAGGGTCAACCATATATATGTTAATTCAGAGGACATAAAGGTAAAGTTCTTTCTTGTTTTCAATTGAATGGTTGGCATACAAGCTCTTGTTCTTTTCTGACTCTGGTTTGCACTTGATGATGCAGGAGACAGGATATACTTACATCATGCCCAAGAACATTTTAAAGAAGTTTATTTGCATAGCAGATCTCAGGACTCAAATTGCCGGGTATCTATATGGTATAAGCCCTCCAGACAATCCCCAGGTGAAGGAAATCCGCTGTATTGCAATGCCACCCCAATGGGGTACTCATCAGCAAGTTCATCTTCCGTCAGCTCTTCCTGAGCATGACTTCTTGAATGATCTAGAGCCTCTGGGATGGATGCATACACAACCAAATGAGCTTCCTCAGTTGTCACCACAGGCACGACATGCTAATTATTTGTCTTCAAAATTTGTATGGTTTATCTTAAAATGGATTTGGTAACTGGTGCAATTGTTTGCAGGATCTGACAAATCATGCTCGAATCCTGGAGAACAACAAGCAGTGGGATGGAGAAAAGTGCATTATCTTGACATGCAGTTTCACTCCTGGCTCCTGTTCGTTAACTGCATATAAACTTACCCCAAGTGGTTACGAGTGGGGACGTGTCAACAAGGATACAGGAAGCAATCCCCACGGCTACCTTCCTACCCATTATGAGAAGGTCCAGATGCTCCTGAGTGACCGGTTCCTCGGGTTTTACATGGTAAGAAGTGTGCATTTATCTGTTATTGGATTTTTAGATTTCAAGTATGATGTTGGAATTAATGGAGCTGTGGACTTCTATCTGTAGATTCCGGATAATGGGCCATGGAATTATAACTTCATGGGGGTGAAGCACACAGTGAGCATGAAATATGGTGTGAAGCTTGGAACACCACGAGAGTACTATCATGAGGATCACAGGCCAACCCATTTCCTCGAGTTTAGCAACATGGAGGAGGGTGATGTTGCTGAAGGCGATCGCGAGGATACCTTCTCCTAGACATCAATTTTCTTCTTACTTGTAACAGTTCATGTACAAGCCACGCCCATGATGTAACTGTATTTGAGCACATAATTTTTGAATTAGCTGTAAATATTTCTGAGCTTTACTCTATGTAGCTAACAGATTTTGGTTCATAACAAGAGTATAAATTTTTCAGCAGGTTTTAATTCTCTGAAGTCTCTGGGAAAGAAAAGAGGGAATTTACAAACTCCACAAAGTTCTTGGTTCTGTTAGTTTTTAGTTGGAAATAGGCTTTATAATTTTCTGACTCTGGTAAGCGTCAGAGCGTGTAGAAGACACATAAGATTAGCAGGTTAAGGTCCATGGTAGCGGGAGCTAGACTTCTATTTTACAAAATTTATCGGTTGGTGACTGCCTGTAAATAAGTGTAAAAATTTAATTTTACCATCTTAACATAATTTTTTTGTTAGTGAGTTTGTAAGAGCAATGAACGTATGAATAAATCAATATAATTTATAAGTTTACATTACCAAAAGTTTATAATTTTTTTTAAAATTTAATAACCTAAAGTTCCTAAGCAGTTACATGCCATGTTTATGTTGCCTTCAAATGAATTTCAAAATTTTAGTTGGAAGTTTGGATATTTTACTGAACATAACTTGCAAATTTTCAGAGCTTATGAATAATTGAATAGTACACAAAGTCTTATACGCTAAAGTCATTCTTTCAATAAATTGAATAATTGAAAATTGTGTTGAGATAATTGGGGTGATTAAGATTCTTTTATTCGGGATGACGCTTGCTCATGGGAGAAGATCTACACACGTAGAATTGGAAGGCGGCTCTAAAACAATTCACACTTGCTCAGTCTTTTCAATTCTGAATTTTGCATGTTGTTGAATGAGTTTTTATTGATTATTATTGCTATTAAAAATTATTTCTATTTTCAAATCACGTCATTATGTTTGCTTCTCTATTACTCAGTTTGAGATAAACCTTTAACAATAGATACTTTTATCATCTGAAAAGAATATATATATTACTTATAGAATAGCAATAAGTCTTTTCTTTTTTTTGTTAATGTTTATCAAATTCTCTGAGTGTTTAATGTTATAAAATATAATAGTGAAATACTGCATAAACTTATTTAAAAATGTATATATAGTTCAGTTTTAAAAAGAAAAAGTTATAATAATGGAACAAAAATTCAACTCCATATATGTGTTTTAGCTTTTTCTTTTAACTTATTCACTTTTTTTGTTTAATTATTATTCATGCTTAGTTAAAATGTTTTAATCTGATGTATCTCTTCCCTCTTTGATTTTACCAAGTACATAAACTCAATTATCATTTCAATCAAATAATTAAAAGTAGAGTCAGACATGCATACAATAAGTGCAATTTTTGTTTTAAGTTGATTAAATCATAACTTAGATGTTAATGTTATTAAAATCTTGATGGCCACAGTAAGTAATCATATAAAATAAGAACAAAATTATCATACTTCTATAACACCTCAATCGAGTTAGGATTTGTATTATATATTTTCTAGTTAAATCAACTTTAATCTGATTTTTTTTTTATTCCCAATCTAAACTGCATGGACCAAGCTTTTATTAAATTTGACATTAGAGAAGGCTTTTTCTCCATGTTATATTTCAGCTTTCAAAAGTTTCATTGAAATAGAAATTATATCTATGATCATTTTGGGAGAGGGGAAAAGAAAAACCTGAATTATTGCTTGATCTTTTTCTTCTTTTTTTACCTGATGCTTTAGAAGGGAGTCTCTAGGAAAATTTCTTGTTTCAATATTATAATAAGGTGCTTTTAAGACTCTTGCAGAATATAAAAGATATAAATTTACTACTTATTTCATTAAATATGATATTAAACAGCAGATTATGCACCATTAAATTAAAATTTATGATTGTTGAAAGGAATATATTCAAAGCATTAGAATGCTTTAAATTATTTAAGCATGTAAGTTATTATTCAAAAAGTAAGTGGTTAATGTTTGGATAAACTACTAATTGTAAACAGTAAACAATGTCAATGGCTCCCTTTCTTATCTCTATTGTTAAAAATCAAGAGCTGCTAAGAAAATAATTCATAAATGGCATAGGCATCACTTTTGAATTTCTTATCAGAAAGTTCAAAAGCTAGAAGAAGAACTTGAAACTTCATAGCAAGAAATCACCCACTTATGCTTGCATGAGAAGCTTATATTTAAACTACTCTCTGCAAGAGTTTCTAAACAAGATGAAGTCTATTGGGGGCAGCATTCTTGTGCTTAATAGACTGTTCAGGGAGCTAGGACTATTTCTCATCGTATTAAAGGGGAGCTGCTCTATATGAGGCTCGTACTGTAGAGCAAGCAAAGCTATTGGACCTGAAATGCATCGATCTAGCCATGAGCAGGTTGAAGAGAGCTCTTACAGTGTTGCTCTCGTTCCAAGTCAAAGACTCACATTCTTACTCTCTATTTATGCTCAAAAACTCAACCCAGTTACATGCACTTACATCTAGAGAAGCATTGGAGGGCTCATTGGTCGTCGCCAAAAAAGAGAGCAAAAGAAAGATAGGGAATGACAAATTGCTCTTTTTTCTATCTTTTTCATCCTACTATAATGAAGTCACAAAAGAAGTAGGAATAGATTGCTCAAGGGAGGAAATATTTCCATCTAACCTTAACTATTCAGTGGAAAGGAACTCCATTGCGACACAAATAGATTCCCAAAGTAATTAGTTTATTGATCCTAAAGGCATTATTGATAAGTAAATGTCATATTACCCACTTTCTCTACAAGTGATGAATCAATCTTATGCAATGAAATCTCAATTATTTCTATTTTGCATTACAACTTAGGATAATGAGGAATTATTTCAAATTCCTTCTGGTTGCAAAACTTTTGTGCCTCTTAAAATTATAGGTCCCAACAAATCCTCGGGACTAGAAGGTAAGCTAGGTTCTTTTTACTAAATTTCATCGGAATATTATTGGTCCAAACATTATATGTATATTCAATAATCCTTTCATACTAGTTTTCTCCTTAAAGAAATGAACCAGAATACTGTCTATATATCTGGATGTCTGGGTGCATAATGTTAAACGATTCAAACCTATTGCTTTATGTAATATATCCTACAAGATTACTTCTAAGCTCATCGCTTCTCAATTTAAGCCTTTTTGCAGTCTATCTTCCCTCCCTATCATGTATCTTTTGTAAAATGAAGTACAATACAAGATAATGCGTTCAATGAATCAAAAGAAATGTAAAGTGGTACGGATTCACTCTAAAATGTAATATCGAAATAATCTTCAAAAGAATGGAATTGTCCTTTCTTCTTTATATTACGAATTATATAGGATCTCATGTTAAAATAATATAAATTACATCTATTGATACATCTCTATGTCTCTTATCAATTCTTTTATTAATGAAAATCCATCCAATGACCTCTGAACCCAATCAAAGTCTAAGACAGGAAGATCATTTATCTTTATCCCTTTTTATTTTTTATACTGAAACTTTATTTAGATTGCTAGCTTAAAAAGGGATTGAAAGGACTAAAGAGCATTAAAGTATGTCAAGCTGCTCCCGGCTTAAATAATTTTATTTTTTTAACAGATGAACTATTTATCTGTTATCAAATTAAGATAGATTAGGTTGCTATTATTTTATACTATTTGGAGCAGTACAACAATTTGTTAGGTCAATTCTCTGTATGTCACTAAATTCTCCTAACATTCAGCATCTTATTAATTCTCTCACAGGTCTCACTATTAACCGAGCTCATTCCAATACTTCGGAATGTCATGAACTCCATACAGACTTTCCTTGAGGAATTTTGAAGACCTATTACATAGGATGCAAGCTCGATTAACTACTTAGACATGCATGGCTTCACCCTATTTAGTTGAGATGCCATGTATAAGCCAAACAAATTTTGCGGATTAGCATTCACAAGGTTAAGTGATTTTCATATGGTCTTTGTGGCTAAACTTGGCTCAGAGTTGATTTTTAACGCTCCAAAACTATAGATACAAATAATTATATGATTTATACGCACTACTTCTATTTCGATATGCAAATAAATGTGTAAGCAATCCGAAATTTCTTAGGAAAATCTGGAAAAACATCCACCGCTGTATCAATGGAAAAAAATTATCCTGTAAGTAGCCTCCTCTCAGACATATATAAATGTACAGAGAAAAAGTCTTACACCAAATTCAAACTCAATATCATGAAAAGAAATTAATGAATACAAACATTGCGAAAAGTGCATAAAACATAAGTTAAATTCGCTACCAATCCAACAGTTCTTGGAACTGAAAGAGCAGTGAATGAAAATGCATTCATATACATAAACAAAGATTCACACACACCTCACAAAATTATGCTTCCAATTCCAAACACCATGTAACCACACGCCCTGGCAACTTTAATAAACAAACAGCCAGTGCCACCTGTTACACAAATAATTAAGTCCCCGAGTCTACATCTAAACCTTCATTCTCATTATGAGCAACTGCAGGTACAATCTTTTCTGGTCCCTCCTGTGGTTTCTTCTCTTCTGAGATGCAATCTTCATTGTCTGACTTCCCATTATTTGATTCTGCAGGTTGGGGATTCTTGAAGAGTTCATGATTTTCTATTTCAGTTAATTTCTCCTTTGATTCTCCCTTGAGCAATTCAACCACCTCAAGCATGGTGGGTCTTTTCTCTGGTTGATTGTGGGCACATACAAGGGCAACAAGGACGATTCTTTTTAGCTCTTCCTCAACAAAGTTTCCATTTAGCCTAGCATCGGCAATCTCGCTGAACTTCTCCCCACGCACCAAGGGCAGAGCCCAGTCAGTGATTGTTCGTTTTGTCACTGCACCTAACTTCTCTATGGGTTTTTTGCCACTCGCCAATTCCAGCAAGAGAATGCCGAAGCTGTACACATCACAGCTCTCTGATGCTTTCCCCAACATTGCATATTCAGGGGCAAGGTAGCCAAGAGTACCTTTGACTCTTGTGGTGACATGTGTTGCACCATCAGGGATCAGTTTTGCAAATCCGAAATCAGCAACTTGAGCCTGGAAATCAGAATCAAGCAATACATTGCTAGCCTTGACATCTCTGTGGATAATATGCGGGGTAGCATGGTGGTGAAGATAGCTGGATTATTCCATCTAACAAGTTAGCATATGTGGTAGTAGATA